TTTTTAAAAAAGTTGTAATAATCGTAAAGATATGAAGAATAGATAAAGGAAGAAAATTGATTATACCAGAGGAAAACAGAGTCTGGAATACTGATCAATGTGACTGAGATTGATCATATGTCCAGAAAAACATCGAAGCAATAATTCATTTTTTACTGCCGGCTTTACTCGTCTCCTGTAATCGCTTGGACGTGGAGGAATTGGACACTGACATTCACCCTAAATAGTTTAAACTTTTTATTTTATTATATTCTATTTTTGTTCTGTTTTTTGAAGAAAAACAAAAACGAATTGAAATATAATATTAGGAAAAACGAAATAATACTGAACAAAAGAAAGCGTGTATTAACTTAGTAAAATTTGATCAAAGAAAAGTTAAGTTATAAAATTTTCAAAAGAAAAAACTATTTGTTGTTTTATGGCAATAGTTTGAAAAGTTTGATTCATGAAAAACATTTGTTCTATTATATTCGTCAATTTTCGACGTATATCTGATTGCGTTAAAATAACTGGCAAAAAAAAATAGAAAGAATAAATTTTTTTATCGGACTATTTAATTTTTATTTATTTTACTAGACTATTTGATCTTAAAAGACAAAAAAAAGACGATCAAAGTTAGTAAGCGGAAAAATTCGCATGCACCGCAACACAGCAAACGTATTGAGAATTGGTAAACAGTAACTTTGTTAAGGACAAATTTAGTCAAGTTTAGAAAGCAAAAACATGGACCTTTTCTGGTAGTAAAATTTTACAAAGTCCAAAAATAATCTTTTTGACTAGCAGTTTCTGGTTTAAGGAAACTGTAAAACTGTCATATAGTTGATCTTCGGCTGTATATCAGCAATCAACCGCTGCATAACAAGTAACATATAGTAGTACAATAATTGTTCTTTCTCATTAAAAAGAAGAAGTAATTTCATAATTTTCATAAATTCAGACTAGAATTTTTTGTTTCTTTTTTTTTGTCTTTAAATTTTTTAATTTTAAAGCTGAAATTTACTGGCTTTATTTTTTTTACCATATGTAATTTAATGTTGCTTGGCAGAAGCAGAAATGATGACAAAAGCTAAAACCATTAATTGAACAGAACTGTATAACAGGCGTTATGCATATCAACGATCTCTGGCTATTAAACTGTTTTATCTGATTGTTCATTCTATAAATTTTTTTTGAATAACTGTAAAATTTACAATTTCAGTATCACATTGAGAAATTTTCAGAAAAAATTTTTGTTTTCGGTAGTGGCGGTGATTTTAACAGCAAGCAAAAAACAAAAACACTTCAATTTTTTCAACGTATTTTGTTGCCGTCTTTGTCAGAAATTGTTTCGGCTGTTAAGGATGCATAAATTAAGCAAAATTTTTGTTTTGTTTATATAGTTTTATTTCTTAAATCAAAAAAAAAGAAATAAGTCAAGATTATTTTTGGTGTTAGTAAATGATAAATGATAAAACAGACATGCATTATTCATAATGTTTTGAAAGTACTGAAAAAAAGGGTAAAAATTCAATTTTTTTTTCATTTATTCAGTAAATAGAAAATGCAGAAAAAATAAGGTGTAAAGTGTTTTTTTTTTGTATTGTTCAACAGTTTTCTAATGTCAAACACACATGCCTCTTTGAGTCGAACGGGAATTCGCAAATTTTTGTTATGCAAAGCTGAATTTTCATCTTGCGATGAGTAGAATGGATAGTACAATGAGTCTGGAAATGCTGGAAACGGTGTTCTGGAAGTTGACGGTATCGTCGGCGAATGATATCGATAACGCACCTGATACGGTCGTGAATGTGCACTTAAAATGATTCTGAAACTAGTTTTTCGGCCCTCTTCAAACAGTGTGCTAGCTGGTAGACAAAACTGGTGATACTGTTAGCTGCTAGGCATACTTTCTTTTTATGCTATATCAGACTGTAAAATTAGCTTACCTTCGACACCGACGCTGTCGATGGAATGTTTTAGCTTGTTTCTGTATATAACTGACTGCTGCATATTCTACAAGAGCACTGAAGACAAGTACAAACGATACACCTAAATATAACAGATATGAGAAATAATTTGAATTTCAAAAAATTTTGAATTTTGTTTCTTAAGTATAATATAAAATACGACGTCACATTTACAACATTATCATTTCTAATCACTACTCTTTCAAAATGTATTTGGAAAGTTCTGAAGTGTCGTTACTTATTCTATCGTAACTTAAATTTTAAATTCAAATAATATTTATTAAATTAACTACACAGCAATCTTTCTATTGTTTTTTTTTACTCGTAATACCAAGTTTAAAATTTATTTTTGTAAAAAAATTTTATTTTAACTCAAGTGAGTACTTTCTGATTATTCACGATTAAATGGTGAAAGTATTTGAATTTTTTGACACTTACAAACGAAGGTGGTGGTACAAGAAAAACAAACTATGATCGACTTGTAACCAATTCAGTGCTTTTAAGTGACGATCAGTTTGCTGGAAAATAAAGCTGTTCAACCACAAGTTGTAACTAAGAGAACTGGTAACAGTTAATAAAATGATACCATTATCACTAAATTCTTCGCTGTATTGCTATTATTACTTGTTCTGATAAACCACTGTATTAGTTAACAATAGTTGGGGCTAAATATATTAAACTAAGCGAACAACAGCAATCATGTTAGGTGGAAAAACATAGCTAATAATTACAACTGCTGCAGCTGTCGAAATTTGAGTACCAACTGTCGTCAGATTTTAACAGCCATTCTTCTTCAAAGTATGCTTTACTGTTGTAAAGTTCTTTGTAAAAAAAAGTTTACTTCGCTATAGATTAACTAAATATAGAGAAGAGAATTAGAAACATGAACGTATCGTTATTTAACTTATCTTATAACACAGTTTGAAATAGATGTTAACAGTTTATTCGACAGTTGTTACTGACTAGCAGTATTTGTTAAGCTTGTTTTACTGGCTTTTTTTTGCACCAACATATTTGAACACTTATGATCAAATTCGCTTACAACGCTATAGAAGTTGCTGTCGCTTGTCTTAGCTTAAAAATTCAACAAAAAATTTTTTCAAAAACTAAAATTTGCTATTTAGTTTCGCATAAAGTGGTTGCTCAAGGTGACAGATATAGTGTAACTTGACAAATTCAAATTTGCTTTCTATAAAAAACAGTTTGAAAACCTACAAAATTTTATGGGATTACAAAATCGATTTGTTTTTGAAACCGTGACTTAAAGTTTACCAAAAAAAGTAAAAAATTTTATATAATGACAAACTGATAGTGGTAATAAGCGATTCAAACATTCAAAGAAAATTTTTGTAAACTCTTAGTCAACTATTGAGGTGATATTTCTGAGTAAAACAAGATTATTTTTTTTGCTTAAGAATGTTCTAGTTCAAATTTTTTGACATCTCAGATAGTTATCTGCATTTTTTACCAACTATTTGAACTTACAGCGACTTTTTCTTGTGACCTAAACTTTTTCTTTTTAAAAAAGAAGCTGTTAAGTTGTTCAGAATTTGACAAGCAAAATACCTGTAATTCTCAACTTTTTTTCCAGGTAAGCAATTTTTGACGCTTTTTCTTAAAAATTTACGCGATTAAAATGTTTTATTTGAGACATTCCGAGTATGTCTCTTATATATCTTTCAATTTTTTTAGCCTTCTGTCTGATTCTTTTTGTAAAAGCTGATTGAAAGTAGTGACAACTGTAATGCCTATCGAACAGCAGACTTCAACTCACTCCAAAAATAGAAAACTCTAAATTTCAACCAATTTTCGTGTTTTAGCAATAACTTGAACAAACCAGAACTGCAAAAGAGAAAAAGTAATCATTAAGTAATATGCTGTTATATACTTGGCAACATATACATTTTAAAGCAAACTATGCTAAAAATACGTTTAAAAAAATTGATTAGTAAGTTGGTCAGAAGTAATTTTTTATTTTGACTACTTGGGAAACATCCTCACTTTATCGTGCTGTAAAAAAATTTTGTAAGTGACAAAAAATTAATTGGAAAAAATTTGCTTTTATAAATCATGGCTATGTTTTTCAACAGATTAACTCCTAAAAGAAGTACAATATGTAGTGATAAAAGAAATGATAAAAATGTTGAAACTAACCCAAAAAGATGTCAATACTCTTGAAATATGACACTTTTGGCATACCGGACTGAAAATAAAAATATAGTTGTTTTGTTGGAATGTGAAGTTGCATAACATTTTGTATACTAACTTTTAACAAATCGCATATAGAAATGCTCAAAAAATAAACTTGTTTTTTTTTTTTACTAAATTAGGCTAAAATTATTTGTCTGACTGTGACAGACATAGCAGTTTACAGAAAAAATTTTTTTATATGCTAAAAGAAAACCTATAAAGTTTTTTCTTCTTTTTAAGCAGCATTTTTATACAGAAGTGTAATTAAACTTGATGTAACATACATTGGATGTTGTAACCAATGTGGTCATCGTTAAAACAGTAAGTACACCAAGTGTTACTCGAGCTGGAGTTGCATCTTGATCAAGCCAAAAAGATACCCAAGATAAGGTGACAATTAGCACTGATGGCAAATATATTTGTATCACATAAAAGCCAACATTTCTTTTCAGCAAAAAAATGCATATAAGTCGAGAGTGTTTACCTGAATAAAAAATTTGCATCAAAAAATAGTTCTTAGACTATAAATGTCGTTATACAAAATATTTTTTTTTGCTAAATTTTATTTTTTGATAACTGTAAAAAGAGTTACTAATATACAGATAAAGCAATGGTTTTTGATAAATAAACTGGAGCTTACAAAATTGTTCACTTACCAGATGCAGTTTGTTCAATTTTTGTTAACGATTTTGCTTCAATAAATTGAAATTGAGGTAGCTCAAAACTTTCGACAGTAATTGAATTAGTACTTTTTTCAAGTGAATAGATAATATCTAAGATACTATAACCATCTAAAATAATTAACATTTAGCAACGCTTTATCAGCTTGAACAATTTTTTACAACAGCAAACTCTTCCCAACTTGTATTAATTGTAAACATATTCTTTAGTTGACACTGCGATAAACAAAATCTTTTTCAGTTTTCAAACAAAAAAATTAGAGTAAAATATATTTTTTCTTAGTCAAATTTTTCAATTAAAAATTTTACAGTTTGTGAAAATAGTTTTTCTGCTTTTTTTTTTTTAACGCACCGAAACAACTTTTTTGTTTGTTTGCCGACAATATTTGCTCAGTAAAAGTAATCAAATGTGCTGTTTTTTTTTAACTGTACTTCTTTTTTCTAAATATTTTATTCAAAAATGCTTACAGCTTTCAATTTCTAATTTACATTTTTGTGTATCCATTGGATATAAACGAAGATCCATTTGGCATACTGCTGTGACAGTCAACCTAAACATAAGTTGATTTAAAAGTATAAAAAAGCAGGCAGTAAAACTGTATGACAAATATCTGCTTTAATAACGTTAATTATTAGTTTGAGACACAAAAAGTCGTTAAAGTTTTATAATTTTTTTTAATATTCAATTTGTGTTTGCAAGTAAAAGTATAACTAATCTTCCTTTTTTGTGCTAAAAAAACAGCATTTAAAAAAATTAGAAAGAAAATTTGTCTGAAAAACTGTTTTTTTAATATTAAAAAAATTCTATAACTTTGTTTTTTACTTTTTTTAAATTTCTTATTTATATATTTATATATTTCTTTTCCTGCAGTAACAATAAATGCCACAAATTATAATCATAGAGAAAAAAACGATTTTTCAACCTAAAACATTTTAGATGCAGTATCGCTGTTGAAATTGTGAATTAATCAGCTGATAATTTAATTTTTAAACTTGCAAACTGAACAGATTTATAACTGCTGATAAGATTTTACGAATGAAAGCGTAAAAAAATCTGTATATATATTTCTTAAGCAGAAGAAAAATCTTTTGATTTGTATGTATAAACAGCAAATGTTTTTTCAGACGATTTTGTAGCCAAAAAATTTTTTTGTTTTAGTAATATTGCAGGTTTTTACATCAAAAAATTGTTAATTAAGGTGTATAGTTAAGCAAATAGTTATCTTTTCAAATAAGGACAACTGATGCATAAAAAATAAGTGGATTTAAACAGTAATAATTTACTGCAAATTCATAACTGTATCAGGCAAATTGTTGAGTGATCAAAGATGTAATCCACTAGAATAAACAAGCCAAAAATAGTTGAATTGAAAAATTAGATTACTATTTTGATTATTGGTTTATCTGTTTCTGTAAGCGCAAATTTGTTTGAAATTTTTTTTTTTTTAAATTTCTGAATTAAAATTTTGTATGTTTTGGTTCTGGATGAATCAACTATGTCGAATAGAAGAAGAAACAAGGAAGTTTGCAGTTCTTTCTTAGCTGCTAAGTCGTAAGCACCTGTCTCAAAGTTTGCCTTAGTTTAGCGTAATGTTAAACAGCAGGCCGATTATCGCATAGGTATTTTTTTTCTTTATTTATTTTGACAAGCAAACAAATTTGTTAAGTTTCATTAATTCTACAGGAAGAAAAAACGATCAGAGGTACATTTGCCTAACAGAAAGTACCTTTGATTTTTGCTGTTCTTCTTGGCTACAATTATCGCCACTAAAATAGTGCAAAATAGAACCATTTATGGGTTTAATCGCTGTAATAAAAAAAAACCTTTGCTAACAGTTAATTAGGAAATTGGCAGTTAAACTTAATGATGTCTGTACATTTGACCTATATTTGTAAAAGTATACTCAGGTAGAACAAAATAAAATGTATTTTTCAGATATTCTGATCAGTTTGATCTGCTGTTCAAACGGAAATTATTGTTTATCGTTGTTTCAGCTTACTGTCATACATACTCATAGTCTGTTCCTTGGTTATTCACTATGATACTGCTCTTATCAACAACATTTTTTCCTATTTGTTTACTTGTGATTAAAAAAATCTAACAATTTAACAAATCTAACAAACTTCTTTAGACAGTGACAAAAAAGTTTGATAAGGAGAAAAAAAAAACCTTTCACTGGTAAAAACGTTGCCAATTGGATCAATCCGCAGAAACAGATTACGCGTTGTTGCACTATGATAATTTGTTTGTTTAGCGTTCGGAAAAAATGTATCCGGTCTCCAGAGTAAAGAAAGATAATCTAAACCAACCTAAAAACAGCAACAGCAGCAGTTTTTTTTTTTCAAGTTATTACTTCAGGCTTAAAACAAGTCGCAAAAAAAAAATATTTTAAATTTTTAAAATTTTTTTCACCATCTTTTTTGGTTTTCTGTTGTTATCTTTTTTCTTCTTCACTAACCGCTTAGTTAGCTGTTCAAGTTTTCTTAACGTTAATCTTAAAAGCGTAAAATATGATCAGCTACTAATTACAATTATATGATGGTTCTTTAAACGACTGAATAAATTTGGCTCTACGACACAGTGTCACCAGAGTAAAATTATTCTAATCTTTCAGCCTACAAAAGTTTTAGTTTTAGTTTAGTGAAAAGATCATCAACTGCCAGTTTTTTGTCTGATAATATAAAAAAGTTTTTGATGGTTTTCTTGCAAATTTTGACAGTTCTAATAACTCTTTTTTGAGTTATTATTATTAAATAACCTTAATAATTATCATAACTTTAGAAAGAAAAATGTCGAAAAAAAAAACGGTCTTTTGTTGACAAAAATTAATGTTTCTTTCAATACAGAAAAAAAAGAAGCAGAAATAACTGCTAATTATTCCTTGGTTACATGATCTTTCAATCATTATCGTTGTCATTTAATAGTGAGACATCCTCTTTTCTGTTCTATCGATAGCAACGTTTGAATACGATAAAAAATTTGAACAACAAAAACAAAAAACTAAAGAAGGTACCACAAAATAAAAAATCTGACTAATTAATTAAATTTACAAACATTTAAAAAACAGGAGGAAATAACGATTATTTAGTACTTCTGTCTAATCTTAATGAATTATTGACCGACAAAGTTTGCAGATCAAAATCAAATAAAGTCGCTGTAATTTATTATTACTCTAGAAAACTAAATTTTAATGTTATCAGACTAAATAAGAAGTGATATTCAGCTGTGTGGTATCTTAATTGTTTCTAAATCTTTAACCGTAAAACTCAAAGCACTTATTGTTCTTATCGGCTTCTGAAGTGAAAACAGTATCTTGAAACTCACTGTAACGAAACTAAAATTACACAAATTACTTACCGTTATTGGTTGAATTTCCTCAATTGGTAACTCATATTTATCAAAAAATGCAAGTCTTGGATCATTCCACATTTGTCGTAAATATAAATCAACAGTAAAATCCTGTTGAAAGATTGAACAACAGTCAGTCTTCTATTGATGGCAAGCAAAAAAAAAAAAAAAAAAAAAAAGCTTTGCTTAATCTTATAAAAGTAAATTTAAAATAATTACCATATTAACTTCAGAGATGGAACTAATTGTGGATACCCGAATGGAAACAGTTACTTCAGTTGGTTTTCCACCAAACTGTGGCCTTAACTGTTTGTTGTAAGTTGTATTGTCTACTAAACTGTCCAATATTTGTGAAATATCAACAGCATATGTTTGGCAAATAAAACTGTAAAAGACATTGATTATATTTTGCTGCTAAAATCCTCATTGAATTTAATTATGTAATTATTTTGTACAAATATCTGTCTAAGAACAACAGCAAACTAACTTAAACTTTTTAAGTTGTAAATGTTCAGTAATCTTTACTGTATTTTAGCCTCTTTCGTTGACATTATCATTCAAATTTATTCGTTCGTCAAAATTTTGCTAACATTAGCAATCAGTTGCATCTGATTGACTGCAAAACTGTTGCCACAACCAAATGTACAACAAATTTTTTCTGTCTTAATCATCTACAAGTAAATTTTTAGAAGAAAAAAAAAAA